ACTTGAAAAGTTCTATTACTTGGATTTCGTGTATAGAGATGGCGCCACGTTGGGCTAAGTTCGGCTTAATAACACAGAAGCCCATATAACGCAAGTCAGGGTTGCCTCACCTTCGTTCTTTTTTAACGATTTTCTTTTTTTCGACATTTTCTTTGGGGTTTTCTTCGTTTTCCTTTTCTTTTGGGTTCTCACCATTCGTTTCATCTGGATTTTCTTCACTTTTTTCGCTGGAATTTTGGTCTGCGCTTTTACTCTTCTTTTCTCAAGCCTTTTCTACGGAATTTGCGTTTTCTTCACCATCTTCATGTTCTTTTGTATGCTCGTCTGGCTTCTTCTCTTCCTTTTCACCTGTCTTATCATCAGCCTTTTCTTCAGAATTTCTTTCTTTCTTCGATTTCACTGACTTTCCCTTGGTTTTTATCTGTTGACATTTCTTCACTTGTATCTACATCTTTTGACTTTTCATCAGATTCCACTTCTGCCGATTTATCGTCCTTCGCAAACGTTTTAGCTTTAGTTTTTTCTATGAGCTTTTCGGCACTGGATTTTTCTCCATTGGGTTTTCCTTCACTTGTTTCTTCATCGTCAAGTTTCTTCTCATCTGATTTTTGCTCATTCGATTTGGCTAATTTTTTTTCTGATGATTTTTCACTGCCCGTTTTACCATCTTCCGATTTTTTCTCGTCAGTTTTTTCATTGCTTATAGATTTTTTGTCTGATGACATTTCCTGACCTGCTTTATCACCAGATTTTTCATCGACGTTAGTTTTTCCACTTTCTGGCTTTGATTTGTCAGCCTCATTTGAACCTTGTTCACTAGGTTTCTCTTCTTTGGATTTCCCTTCGCTTGGTTTTTTATCTGCAGATTTCTTATCATCCGATATTGCTTCGTTTGCCTTTTGCTCTTTCGATTCTTCCCCTTGTCCCGCAAGCGCTTTCTTAAGACTCTCAACAAAATTCGTAGTGGTTGGACACTGAATGGCTTTGACCTTCTGAACATCATTTTGCAAATTCGAAATGGCCTTCTTATGTTGTTTCACAAACTCATCCAGTGCTGGTATAAGGGTGCTTTGAATTATTTCATTGCTTTCCGCTGTATTCGCTTTCTTCACGGTATTTAAATTTTGTATACGTGCTCCCAAATCTTCAATGCCAGTGAATGCTTCGTTCCTTTCTGCTTTAACTACCGTATCGTTCAAAGTTTTCAAAAAGTCCAAATGCTCTTTGGCTACTTTAGTTGTCGTTGTACTTCGATTGACCACAAAGTTATTTTGTGCATTTCGAAAAGTGTTACAACATTTCTGCTTTTTATTTATGGCTCCCACAAAATCTTTACAAAACCAAGTTTACATGCAATTTTGCTGGCAAATATTTCTTGAATTCTTGGACCCGTTGCATGACTGGGCACCTAATTGATGTAAATAAAAAAGCGAAACGAAAATTAGGCAGGATTGTCATTGCAACTGTATATATAAAAAACGTTATTATTTAGCAAAGAGGAAAATTTTCATTTAATTTGCGAAATCGTACAACGTTTGTACTAGAAATATATGACATTTTCGCAACTCTGTGAGCTTTAGCTTAGGGGTTTTAATGTAGATTTTAATACATGGTCCAATGTTGCCGTGTATTTGAGGCCCAAAATCAACAAAGATTTACCGTCGATATTTCTGCACTGTTTTGTGAAGTGTCCATCCAATCAGGCACATTACCAGGCATAGCCTAAAACAATTTATTTTTGAAATAAATAAAGAAAATTGCGGTGATCACCAAATAGTTAATGCTTACAATGTTCAAAACAACCAGATTGACAAAAAATATCCGTATGAATAGTTTCATTGTGTTCAATAGTAAAAAACAAACTGTCATTTCTGATCTAACTAAATAGGTTTTTATATGCATGGCTTGATGACATTGAGAGCAACTGGTAGAGACCATTATTGTAGGTAATATATTCTTATGCAAAGGAAATTAAAGTTTTTTTGTTTTTATTGCGTAGTTACGTTAAATCAATAACAAAATTCATATACAACTTAAAAGAAGAATTATGCGCGATATGCAAATATTTTGAATTTTTTTTCGAAAATGTATGGCAAACTGTAAACTATTTTGATTCAAAATGAGTTTGAACACTATAAATTACAAAAACAACTTACACAATTTACATTTTCGTCCACATTTACAAAACTTAAATTCAGAAAAATATTGGAATATTGAAGTTTACCCCACAAAAAGACTAGAGAACGAGAAAAAAGTAAAAGTCGGAAGAAAATTATGATCGTAAATTCAAAATAGGTTTTAATAGTTTATTTTCAAGATCAAATTTTATGATATAATAATTTAAAGGATGGTAGAGATGAATTCTGAATAAAGAATTTTGAATTTTTTTCAATGAAAGTATAAATCTGTCTCTTGAAGAATTCTTACTTCTGCAAACCATGTACCCGCTTCATGTGACGATTAACGTTGAATCGCAGTGAGAAACGGGCGGTGCACCGTTTGCACGGAAAATAGTTTTTGCCGGTGTGATGGTTACACATATGACTTCTTAATTGCATTGAAGAGCGAACTGAAAATTGGCAAATGTAACATTCATAGTGGCGACGTTTGCAGTGCCCTTGGTGTACATTCTTATCTTCTTCATTTGCAAATCGACGACAGCATTTGATGCAACGATTTGGACGCGGTTTGGCATGAATATCCAAATGTTTCTTCAAATCACCTTTCGAAACTAATTTATTGTCACACACTTTGCATTGAAACGGCTTTTCGTCTGTGTGTTGCCGTTGCATGTGCCGCTTCAGCAGAGATTTGGTAAAAGATTTGTGCGGGCAGATGTGACATTCAAATCGTCGACGTTTGCAATGATCCTCATGTGATTGTTTGGCGTTTTCATCTGCAAATCTTTGTCCACATTTGAAACAGTCAAATGGCAATTGCTTCACGTGAGTTCGCAAGTGACTGTTAAGATTACTTTTGAGTGAAAATGTTTTGGAACAAACACGACATTTGAATGGCTTCTCTCCACTGTGGATTAGCATGTGTCTCTTAAAATCAGACAATCGATCTGTTGTAAGTTTGCACTCCATGCATTCAAATTGACGGCGTTGGCATTGCTTTTCGTGCTCGATCTTGTCCACTTCTTGTTTGAATCCTCGGCGACACTTTGGACAATGGAATGGGAATTCGGTGGCATGGACTTTCATGTGCCTATTCAAATGACTTCTCCGTGTAAAAGCCTTCGAACATATTTCGCATTCGAATGGCTTCTCGCCACTG